AAATATTTAAAGATTTTTTAATACCCAACCATCATAAATGTAAATCATTTTTATATAAACTCAGCAGTATTCTCTAAATGAAGTAAAAGAAATGTAATATATATAATATATACGAGTGTACATATTTATTTCCATTAAACACAAAAAAAATGTATAGGGGAATTTTATCTGAAGTACGCATGGTTGATTATAATTGAAATTTATTTTTATATACAATAAAATGTTGCTTTCATCTTTAATTAGGAGTAAATTTGATACCTAAAATAAGAGCATTGAAAAACATCAATCAAAGATTTGAATTTCATACCAAAATCATTTCAAATGTGCATACATTTCTGTTAAATTGCCTTCATTAATGCTTTTATTTACATTAATCCTTAATGATAGGGACACCCAAAAATAAAAAAATGTAAGCAATAATATTCTTAAAATTCACACATCATTAAAAAGATATATAATGTGAACACTCAAAAAAATATATAAGGAATTCTAGTTTCAAAATTTACACAATTTTCCAAAGATATATAATATATATCTATAACTTATTATACTTATAGATATATATCACAGAAGTTAATCATATATATAATATATATCTATAGGGCTTAATAAGAATATACGATTTAGTTATTTAGTTCTAGTATTAAAAAAATTTACAAGAATTGTTATCTTTTTTATTTTAATTTTTATTATGTGGAGTCTTGAGACGTCTGTTGAATTGTCTTTTGAAATTTGGGTCTTTGTTTTTTTTTTATGAAAAAAATAGTTGTCTTGGATACCGTCAAATATCCACCATCAGTGATCTTAAGAAACATTTAACGATTTAATTGTTCGTTGATAATTTTTGAGTTGCAAATGTCAGATATACGTTTTATATACAATTTATAGGATAAATATAATTGTACTCTTAGCTATAAATCCATGCTATATATATGAGTGTACTCTCAGCTATAAATCCATAGTACATATTTGATCCTATTTAAGTTTACGTGACAGATTCTAAATTTTCTTTCCTATAATATTTATTTATATACAATATTTTTTGCTATGATTTTAATATGATTAACATTTTCCGTTGGTCATGCTTTTCTTGGAAACTAGCATCGCATATATAGTACCTCCTACAGTTGTAGTTGTTATGCTCCTCCATTGGAGCATAACTTAGTGTTCCATTATTTACGTAATCCCTTTTTGATAAAATAACATAAAATGCCATAAATTAACCTTAATTCAAGGGCATACACTTACGCACAAAAATAGATAGACCGAGAAACTTACTCCATGCTCGTATCTTCCATTTTCCCATTAAGTATTTTTCTAATAATAACATTGTACTTGAGGGTTGTTGCCATTTGATGTTGTCAGCTAATTTAATCTACTTAAAAACCAATATGAAATATATTAAATAAAGCCACATTAAATGCAACTGTGGGGAGCATCAAATTAAATAGAAAATTTATAGCTAAATTAAAGTAACTGAGCTGTAAAAATAATTTATATATGACTTACAATAATTACACGAATACCAAATAAATAACAAGAGCAAGTGGCGCATAAACACTTCGATTTATTGCTCAAAAAGGACATAATTAAAAAGGCGGTCACTATAATTATTAATACTCGTTGTAGTAATGGCGGTGTAAACTAGGAGGGTGAGAAGTATGAACAAAGTTAATTGAAAGTGTCTGCCAAAATAACAACTAAATTTATTATTGTTTACACGAAATTATAACTGAACTTGGTGGAGCTGCTCAGGGTTCTGATAAGACAATTTGCATATCTCTAGTAATTATCGCGTGGGAATTTAGCTACCGGAGATCTACTCGGGTGGCAAATAAAAGAACACCAATCATTCATTTGAGTATTGACAACCAGTCAATTAGCTTTATTTAGCGAATTATTCGATATTTTGGCTAAACAACGTCGAATGTGGTGCATGAGAAGTTATTCCGTATATAATTTATTTACTTGTTGAACGGAATTATATTTAATTTAAAATAAAAATGTTAATCAATCATCAATCATTGATTCCTGGTACATGCAGTTTCAAAAAAAATTATTTACGATTAATTAAATACAGGAATTATTTCCAAGACCACCGATAATGGGTATTTGGCAATATTCGAAACAGCTGTATGGTCAGCATAAAATTCAATTAATTAAAATAAAATAAAATTAATTTTTGTTGTTGTAGTTCACTACTGTTCGAAAAACCTCTTTACCAATCATCAATCGTCAATCCAAAACTTCGATAGACTGGGCACAATTAACTTTATATGGTATGTTATTAAAATCAGATGATTTACTATAGATAGCATCAAAATGGTTTCCAATTATATGAGAGTTCTAAGACTTTAATGTTTATTACAGCATTCATTTAATCATAATAATTGCTAACAGTAGAAATTTGAATTAATCATTTGATCAAATGGAACTGGTATATAGGATATAACCTTATAATATTTTTATTCAAAATATTCTTCTTCGCAACCTTCTTTGTGATCAATCTTGATGTCGTCACCTTTTATTAATTGCGACCAAATCTCGATTTGTATTTTATAAGCTTTTTCTACTGGATTGACTCGATTGGAATTGTGTATTAAGTAGGAAGTTTCCTTTTTAAATTTTTGGAAAACTGCGATGGTAGGAAAACTGCCTTCTTACATAGTATAATTGCAAAATATAGCGACCTTTTTGAAACTTGCACTTAAGATTGATTAACTGAAACATTTACCAAGAACCATTAACCTCAATAGAATGTTCAAGTAAAAACAAGAATGAATACATTTTTCCCAACCTAACATATTCTATAGTTGGTTAGGTTGCAGTGGACTAAAGCTCAATTAAGCACAAATAATGGTCCGTTTTGATACTCTGGATAAAACACTTCTTTTTACACCAAATATAAGGGACCACCTGAAAGATAAAACTTTAAAGAATATATCGAACAAACTGCGTTCCTTTGAAAAAGCGCGACATTCTTATACAAGTAAAAGACGACCAACCTACTAAGTCCGTAATTTTTGCTATAGCCCTAGGTTTTAAGTATGATAACTCTATGAACTGTGTAAGAAAAAATTACTCAAAGAATTTGAAGTTAAGTCGAGTTATATAGTAAATATATATATAGTGAGCTGTCAACATCGATACTGTGGAACTGAGTTGATATTGTTTTCATTGTAGCAGTTAACTGGTGCAAATTTTGTTTATCTTATGCTCTAACAAATATTTTCATCCCCCACACTTACAGTGTCCCAGACCCCAGATATTTTCGTTTTATTGCCATTTTAACCGTTGCAATAAGAATACCAATAACCGAAAAGTAAATATAGAAGAACAGCGTGCTTACATTAGCGAGTTTCTCTGCTTTATAGTTTGTCTGATATACCATAAATCCTGTGTCCACTACCACTGAATTGGACAGCAGTAAAAAATCAACAGTTGAGATAAGGGCGAGCCATTATCGAACACAAGAAGAGCAGCTGTGGTACCTAAAAGAGATCAACAGTGAGAGAAAAATGCTATATTCATTTTAGAAATCATAGGGCTCAGGAACTATTTGGTTGTATAGTGTATTGCAATTATCTCTACCTCAGACACTGAGAGACGTTAAGACTTGATATATTAAAAATATTCCACTGAGGACTATGTTTTTTTATATTCTATACTAGACTTCACTATCTTGTTCTAACCTAAATCAAGTTCTTTATTCTATGGCATAGTTTTTGATTATACACATACATATTTAAACACTTGCCACTTTGAGAAAACTTCAGTTTATAGTCTCTATGTATATTATGGATTTATATTAAAAATTCTAAATTGGAAAATTAATTGTAATAACTATTTTAAGTTGGTTTTTTTCCAAGTTTATTATTAACAAAATTTTGGATGCTAGACTTATTACTATTACTAGACTAGTAGCATGATTCCACGCTTGTAACATTTTGTTTTTTATTCGCATAGACTGATTCAGGTGATTTAACACAAAGTTTTTACCGTCTACAAAATTTTGTAAAGATCGAAATTAAAAATAATTGATAGACCTCAGATGTGGGAATATATTCCATACAAGCTGTTAAAGTAAGTTACATGGAATATACTGCCACATGTAACCGGCAGTATATGTATACGCGAGTTACTGAACTTTTATATAGTCTCACATTGTCTTGGTGGAACTCTACACCTTTTCTAATGACTAATTCCGGTCTTTTTTGTTTAAGCGCATCATTCAAGTCATCAAGTGATAATTGTATACTTCAGAATTGATCAGAATTGTATTGTTAGGTAAGCCTAAAACAGAAACCATATCTATGTTATCCCACCAAACAGATAGCATCATTTTTTATCGATGAATATCGGTATCCGAAGGGCTTTGACCCAATTCATCTTTGTTACTTCATATATGATATTTATATGTTACTGTGAGATTGCTCCAATGATAAACTTTTTAAGATCCTTCCCCTCCTTTGATATGAATACATGTAAGTAGTTCAAGATTGCTGAAAAAATAAAAGAACGTGATAATTAACTTTGCCCTTCCATTAGATTATGTGTGATTGTGATTTGAATAAATTTGCTATGATGTAGAAAATTAGCTCACCAATCTAATCCTTAAAGTTTTATTAATAAACACAACGCATATGTTAAACTAAAGCGCAATAAAAGGATATTTAAATTTGTTTTGTTTTTCAAATGCCAAGTAATACGTGCGCTTAGGTTAAGTCCTTGGTACAATCAGGAAAATATTTTAATTTGACTTTTATTTTCATTCAGCTCCTTGGCTACAAATAATCTTATTGGATTACTCGGTATGATAACAACGCTTTTGCTAAAGCTCTATTTGCCTGCTGAGGTCTTTGCGAGGTACACCCACTGGGATTGTGCTCTAAAAGTAGTATGGCGTTTCTTTGGATTGTATTCGGGCTGCATTGCTGCTGTCATGGCTATTGAGCGTTGGATGGCTTTAGCACGCCCTTTCATCTATCACAAGGTAAGGTGACCATAAACAAGCGTGGCACAAGTGTGAAAAATAGCCCAATTTGAAGTGATTTTTTTTTATAACTTGTAACCTACCAACTTTGTCACGTACCACTAACGTTAATTTTTTATTGGCTTAATTTGCAGCACATAACATATGAACTTGTACGCAAAACAATTCATTCACTGATACTCATTGCGATTGTTATCACGTTTTTGCCGTTCGTCGGTTTTGGCGCCTATATTGATGAAAGCAATCCGGCAAAGCCTGTATGTATGCGTTACCGTGATGCTCAGGGTTTCTGGAATAAATCATATGCTGTACTTTTTATGATTTTCGGTAAGTTTATAGCTGGGAATTGTTGACATTTGAAAGTAACTGTGGAGGTCTACCTCCTTCCTGGACATAAATTATTATACATCGTTTTTATGCTCAACTGTAAACAAGCGTAAAAAGTTATCTAAAATAACACATAAATTTTCATATAATTTTTTTAACATTTTGTTATAAAACTAAAGGTTTTATTCATTCTTTTATTTTCCTAATGCAGGAACCACGCTGTGCATCGTAATTGTTGCTTGTAATTTATTTGTTGCTCGAGTTTTATGTGTTATTGGACGTAGTCGTACCACCACACGTCACATGCACTACGACATGGTAAATCGTGAGAAAGGCAGTCGCATCGATGCCGAACCTAGCAGTGGTTCATCATTGTACCACCATAGTAATAGTGTCACCATGACGGCTGCCTCGTCCCCCGATGAGATTAAATTCGCTAAATTGATGGCCTTTCTGAGCATATCCTTTGTTATATGCTGGATGCCGCAAATGGTAAATTATAAAGCAAATACTTAATACCTCATAAAGTTTTACGAACGCAAATTTTTTCTTACTAAAATTATGTTTATATGGTACTGTTAAAATTTGCATATATTGTATGAGATTAGTTTTGGCAACATCATTTTTTAATAGCAGCCATGAAATTGTCATAACATCGTAGTAAACATGTTGTTTCGTTAATGCACTAGGCGAGGGCACTAGCTATATATGACATCCCTATCTAACTACTATCTAATAAAATAATTTGACAGAAATAAAAAAAATTTTGGCAACATAATAAATAATTTTAAAACTTCCAAATTTCATAAAAAATTAATTCACATAGATATAATCACCAACCATAATCGACAATGAAGTATTCTATGTGAAAACAACAAAAAAAATAAAATTACTGAGTAAAGTTGACAAAAGAGAGAAAAGATGGCCCTAGAAGAATTATAAATTTCATAAAAAATGATTTCATATAGAGACAATCTGTCACCATAATCGACAATGAAGCATTCTGTGTTGAGACAAAAAAAATAATGTAAAGTTCCTGAGTAACTTTTCCAAAGGAGAGAGAAGTCAGGCCTAAAAGAGATGTAAATGCTAACTGCGGCCATATGCTTTACTAGGGGAAATGGACACTAAGAAAAACTTAATTAAATATATTTAAAATACCAAAGAAGTTATAAAGGTGTTACGTACAATCTAATGCAAAGTATACCATAGTATACTGAATAGTATTTTCGGATTGAACCAAACGAATAACTTTTTCTTCAACGATCAGCTTATCTTTGAGGAAATGAAACAGAGTTTAAAAGATCTTATCAGAACTACAAAAATTAAAAACCAATTTTATTGAGGCATGTTCAAACACGAACGATTTAATGAGCCGCCTAATTTGATATCTCTAAAAATAATATAGTCTTTTATGTGTAAAGGAAGACAATAGTTATAAAATCAACATAAAATATTAATTTATCTCCAAATTCAAGATTATTGGATCAAACAAAAAAAATTGATAATCCGAATTTTCATGTCCAACTCCATCAATTCGTTTGAGTCCACCCAAACGAAATCAAGCTTTTTCTAAGAGTATGATACCCAAAACTGAAAAAACATTTTACAAGGATGGTAATAATATGTATGTAGTGGTGCTGTTACGGCATCATGCATTAAAAGTTACTACAACTGAACAAATAATTGATCCAATTTTCTACTGCCAACAATTAAAACTATTGTAACCAACGTTTAATAAAATGAAGTTTGGATTGATTGAGGTAAAATGTCATATGCCATAATGATAACACTATGGTGTGTTATGGTAACTCATCAAAAATTAAGATTTTAAGTAAGAAGTTTTGGTATATGTATCAGTATAGCTCTGATATTGCATTGTCTGGTTATAATTTGTTACAATTTCTGTGAAATTCTCTAGGTTTATTCAGTCTCTCTCTCAGATAGATACTCAGTAATCTCTCCTCAAAAAGAGATTCAACAATCTCTCACAAAATTGAAAAAAGAGTTTGAAGGCACATGATTAATATTTTTATTAAATAAAGAAACCAGGATTTCTACAAAAAAAAGAATCCATTATTCTTCTAGAAATAAAGGAATTTAGTGTTGCGTAGTGTGTTTTATACTGCATATTGTAAAGCAACAATAGTACTATATGAGTACTATATACATATATACATATATATGGGTACCTAAAATATATAGCAAAATTATGGTTAAACATATAAATGCAGGGTTGGCAGGAATATATAAAAATGGCTTTTTAATTGATTAATGTATATACATTTCCACATTTAATTATTTTTATGTTTTCTTTTTATTGAGAATAAGCATTATTACATATTTCATGTGGACTTAGGATATTATTACATACTTTCATGTGGACTTATTAACAATATTTCGGCAATAGTCTATAATCATCTTCACGATGCTATAATTTAAAATATATAATAATAATTATGATCTAAAGAAGACTAGAATTTAATGGACAAAAAGAGCGCAGTATTCAAAAGGCTGCTAAATAATCCAAAGATTATGAATTAAATAATAGAATAATGGTGAAATAATTTATTATAATCCATTATTTTATTGTTTAAACATTTTAAAGGGAACAAATCGAATTTATTCTGTGTACAAAAAAACCTCACAACGTTAATGTTATATATAATAAAATATATCGAATTATAAAAATCAATATCTCTAGTTAATATAAAATGGTAGAACGAATCAATTCATAATATATTACATTTATAAATATATATTTGAAAAGATCATAACATGAATAATTAATTCAAATTATTTTCTTATAGATTGCTATACCAATGGCTATATCGACAAATCCAGTACGCAAAACGCATCCATTCTTTATGTTAGCTGACTTTCTCATGGCTCTACATTTCACCTCAGACCCTTATATCTATGTCTTAAGCCGTACCAAGCACGGTTACCTTTTGGGTTGCATAAAACGTTGGCGCTGCAATCTGAAACGGTCACAAAGCGACCAAAGCCGCTTACGCACCACAATCGAACAAAATACCACAGACTGTGGTGTAAATTAAAACTATGTATATAAGCATTATATCTCATTTTACAATTGAATAATATTTTTAAATTAAATTAAATTTAAGTTTAGGTAATAATTGCATTTTCCAAACCAAAAATCTTAATATTATTAGGATCGAATGAAGTACTTAATACATTCAATTTGAAATCACAAAATTGTTATTTTTAGCATTTAATAAAACGAATATTTGTTCTCATAACATTTTTACATATAATTAATTTTAAGCATGTTAATAAGATCGAATATATATTATATATGTATGTATGTATAACTCTATCATTTATATTAAACATTGTATTATATATTAAAAACCAAATGTTACATTAAAAGAAAAATTATACCAAAAGAATAACTGAATTGTTGCTGTTTTCCATTTTGTTCCTAGACAATTTATATAATATTATGTACTCAAAGATAAGTACTCATTACCATAAGACATAGAAGAACTATATCAAAACGTATAGCAAGAGAACTGCTTAGGGTTTACATTTTACTTCTACGTCTAGGCTCCACGCCTTTACCATAAGAAGAACATTTACTGCAAAAACTGTTTAGGACTTACGTTTTATTTCTACGTCTAGCGTCCACGTCTTTACTATAAGACTTAGAAGAAAAACTATATCAAACAAAAATATTTGCTGCAAAAACTTTTTAGGGTGATAGCGACCCAATTTGGTTCACTATGGTTAACTATAACAAGTCAACCAGTGGGAATTTCGCGAATCAAACCTATCCTTTTAAATATTTATCGACCGCATTACAGTTGATACAATAGATTTTTTTTAATGAAACATTTTCACATAAACTTTGAATAAGTTTTCAAAAACTCTCTCCTTCAATGAGTTTCTGTAAAAGCCCCTAAAGGCATTCCATTGAGTTAAATTTATAATAAATTTATATAAAAATATTAGAATCCAGTGAATAACCCATTATATTGTTAGACGAGATTAACAATTTCCTAAAGTTCAATGTATCTAGAACATACCTAATCTGAAATCCGTAGCTTAATAAATTGGAGCCTTACTTTTTGAAATAATAATGCTTGATTAATTTTTAAATTATTACAATCAAGAATCGAATAATTAATTCGTAACAAACATTAGTAAATGTGGCTATTAGATGATATAACTTACATAAAATATTTGTTTAATATCATATATAACAGATTGAAGTATAAACCTTGAAATAGAGCTTGAAGTAAGAACCTTGACATACAGAGCTTAAAATAAAGAGCTTGATGTAGGGAGCTTAAAATAGAGACCTTGAAGTAGAAAGGTTGAAGCAAAGAGCTCGAAGCAAATACCTTAAAGTAGAGAGCTTGATGTAGAAAGCTTGAAGCAGAGACCTTAAAGTAGAAACCATGAAGCAGAGAGCTTAAAGTAAAAAGTCAGATAGATATATTGAGGTCAAATATATACAGACCGAAACAAAAAAGATGAAATTTGAACTTTTGTAGAGAAGAAAAATGACAACTCCCTCTCATCAAACACGAATTAGTTAATGTCACAGACAAACACTAAAAAAAATTGTACAATATTTCAATAAATAATTCAAACACTAAATTACTGTTTAATTTATAATTTATCACAATTAAAATTTGTAAATTTATTTGTGTTATAAAAAATCAATAATATCTGCATAATTAAAATTAATAAATAAATGTGGCTGTTAGATGATATAACAGCTTAAAAAATAAATAAATTTAGTCGGTGTCGGGACAAATCTATTACAGTAAAATATATGTAAACACAAACCTCCTCAACAAGTGAGGGAGTGGACTACAATGACAAATTTCTACCATACTCTTACAAGCTTTTCGAAAGAGTTGACTTTGGAATATTTTCGAAAAATCTAAGAATCTATCTAAGAATTATCTGTCTATCTATTTGATGGCAGCAGTACCTTTCAAACAGAGGTTTTACCAATCGACAAAGTAACTACATATTTATTTATTTATTTCACCATACATATGGTAACTTAAACCAGGATAAATATATACACGAGTAGCTAGACTAACAAATCAGTATACTCAAAGGTTGTTTAGTATTGCCTGGCAGCTCTAAATAAAATTAGTACCATTTTTAGAGTTCCGGGAGCAATGCTATTAAAGAAATCTGTAGAGCTGACGAGCTAGACAAACAGGGTATTAACAAAAATATAGGAATACCTGTCGCCAACTGCAAATTGTTGTTAAAGGTTATGGTTGTTCATATAAGATCATAAGTTACCAGACCACTTTCCAAAACTACTAGGTGGCATATGGAAATCTAACACGAAAATTAAAAAGGAAAACCATGAGAGATGGTCTTTGATATTAATTATCATTCATATTAGTCAATTATACAAAACAAATAAACAAAACAAAATACTTATGTAGTTAAATAATTTACTCTAAAATATGAATTAAAATTAATAATTTGTTTAATTAAAGGTTTTTTTGAAAACTTAAAATATTAAAAATATGTATGTTAAGTCGTTTACTTTTAATTTATAAACGATGACTAAACTCACTAAAGTATAAATTTATATTAAATAAATTAAAAATAAACAAATTATGAATAAAACAAGTTTTTAAGAAATTTATTAAGACTTGTCAATATGCAGTAAAGGGCAGACGTCACGTGACAAAAATTTTGATAAAGCCGAATAACGGACCTACGCAAGATATAGTCTTGTTTGTATCAATCTTGACATAAGGCCACCGAAACACATCATAACTTTTACTTAAAAAGTATAAATACATAGTTTTTGAGAATTTGAGTGACAAATCTCATTACTGAATGAAGTTCAACTGCACGGAACATAGACTCGAGTACAATAAAAATATTTTATGACCAAATAAAATGATCAAGGGTTCTGATTATAAGAATATTATTACATTCACAGAAGTGGTTTCAGTAGCTCACTCATAAAATAATCATGTGTTGCGATGATCTAACCTCAAGATTAATTGAAACAAGACTACATATCTTGTCGGCAATTCTTAAAATTTTTCACAATTGACGTCAATATCCATTCTCTGGACAATTATACATATCTTAATAACTTTTTATTAACAATTTATTTTTAATTTATTTTATATAAATATAAAATTAATTAAAAATAATTTTGTTTTTTTAATTAAAAATAAAAAAAATTTTAAATATACAAGAGATTAATAAGTTTTTAAAAAAAATTAATAAATAAAAGATATAAACTTCTCCGTCTAAATAACAAAATGATTAATATATAATAAAAATTAATAATTAAAATCAACATAAATTATTAATAATTTAATGATTTAATATCGAAACATCTCAACTAATTATTAAATATATATTACGGTTACAGTACTAATATAAACACTTTTTATAATTTTTATAATTTTTTTTATAATTTGGAACGTTTAGTAAAAACCTTTCAAAATATTTTATTACGTTTAGAGCCTTATCTGTGGTCTTAATATGCCACTCT